GCCCTAAGAAGCGTGGAGCCACCATAGAGTCGGTCCACAGGGACAAAGCCTTTAGGGTTGTCGGGTTTTCCGGGCATGTGAAGAGATGTGTCGAGTCGTGAGGGGTCTCTCCGCATGCCGGAAACTCATTTAGCACACCCGCATTTAGTCTACTCAGGTATGAGTTTAACCTGCTGCAGTAGCCAGAGCGAAGTTGGGATATTGTGGTTCTTGTCTACCGAGGCAGATGAAGCTCCATCTCGTCAATGTCCGGTGGTTGTGTGCCTAGAACGGCATTCACAGATCTGGAGTCTACATAACTCGAGACTGACTTCCTGTGAATGCCGTTCAGGGCCTGTCGGTATGCTGACTGGTCCAGAGGCTACTTAATGAACCTCTGGACTTCGTCCGTCAGTTCGTAGAGACGCCTCCTGACGTGCCTAGGCGAGGGCTCCTCTCCAAGCAGCTGTCTATTTGGGTGGCCACATCTGTGGCTCCCAACCAGAAACTGCTTGCAGAGCATTATGTTATGCTCCTTGACTGGGAGCATTTTCGCCTCGTCATGCAAGTGGTGTTCTGGCGACATCAGGAGGTATCCGGTCGCTGTCCTAAGTGCGGTGTTTTGAGTTGTCTGTAGCTTCATCCACTGCGCCCTACTAGTCCCCGGCAACCACACTGGTACTGCGTAGTTTAAAAACGGCCGGCCTATTGCCTTGTATGTTGCCAGCAACGTCTCTTTGCTTTAGCCCCAAATACTGCCGGGTAGCGACTTGAGGACCTTGTTGCGGCTCTGTACTTTATTGACAATAGCGGTTGCGTGCGCAGAGAAGGAGAGCAGACTGTCGAATGTTACTCCGGGTATTTGCGGGTTATTTCCCGCGGAATTGGTGTATCATCGACGTGAATTCCCAGCGGTAGCCTGACCTCCTTCGTCCAGGTGGTGAACAAGTTCCCAGAGGATTTCGTAGGGGAGAGGGCTAGGCACTTTGCAGTGAAGAAGCGAGAAAGCTCGGAGAGACACCCGTTTACTTTCGAACACAAGTCATCAATTCCATTCCCAGTCGCCATTGTCGAGCAATCGTCGGCATAAGAGACAATCGAGACTCCCTCTGGTGGTTGGGGGAGCTTTGAAATATAAAAGTTCAACAGTAGCGGGGAAAGGTCAACACCCTGTGGAACCCCCTGTTTTATTTTCCTGAGTTTGCTCGATTTGTCTCTATACATTACCGACGAGTGTCGACCACTCAGATAATTTGCCGACCACCGTTTGAGCCTCTGTGGGAGAGAGAAAGCCTCTATATCTTCTAGTAGCGTGGAATGGCTCGATACGTATCTCTTTGTGGGCTTGTTTCCCCGGTTGGAGCAGTGCGACCACTCTCCTCACCTTCCAGATGTCTGGGACGATGAGTGGCCATTGACAAATTGAGGGCCTCCGTTAGGTACGCTACTCCCGTAGAACCCAAATATTTCAGCATAAGCATGCATATTCAGTTGGGGTCCATGGCTTTGGAGGCTTTCGCCTTCCCGATGGCCACCTAAACTTCACCGCAAGTAAAAGCAAGGGGGGCACAAGTTGTTGGCAGTTTGTGCGCCCTTCTGGTCACTCGACACTTGGCTTTGTCCACCGGAGGATGCAGTATGAACTGCCGGCTAAAATAGCTCGCGCATCGCTCCGGGTCCGAGAAGCATGGTCGCCGAAAGAAAATTCGACCCTGTTGTCATGCTTCGTCGGATCGGACAGTGACCTCAGGGTTGACCAAAGCTGATTCACACCAGAGGTGAAGTTACAGGTCTTCAGATGCTCTTCCCACTTCTTCCGCTTATGTACGTTCACTAGTTGCCGAATCTCCGCGTTGAGATCCCTGATACGAGGATCCCCGGGATCGGCCTGACGAAGGCTGTCACGCTCATTGGCTTGAACAGCCGCTTCAGAAGGGAAATTTGGACGTGGGTCCGTTATGCATCCTGCCGGTACGAAGCGAGCTGCAGCAGCGGTGACAGCCTGCGGAACTTACGTTCACCAAGGTGCACGTCGGTTGGTGTGGGGAGCGCAGCGAAGGTATTAGCAGTAAATTCCGCGAAGCCTTTCCAATCAGCTTTAGAAAAATTGATATAGGTCCGGTGTTCCGCGGAAGCAAAGTCGGTTGGTTTATCGATCGAGATGACTATGGGCAGATGGTCTGATGCCAAAGTCAGCATAGGTCGCCATGATATGCTGTTTATCAGACCAGCGCTGACTATTGTTATGTCTGGCGAGCTGCAGCAGCTGCCCATAATCCTGGTGGGTGCGTCGTCGTTCGTTTTGCAGAATGTCGAATCTTCTATCTGCTCAGCCAAGTCAGTTCCCCTACGATCGTTTGACAGGCTTCAGTGCCAAAGATCGTGGTGCGCATTAAAGTCACCTACTACCATACGGTTTTCACCTCATAGGAGCGCACCTATATCAGGGTGATATCCTGCCGGGCAGTAGGTGACAGGGTGACAGGGGGTATGTACACGTCATCAACATCGCCTCACCTAAACGGGGTTAGATCGCCGAAACAACAGCCCTTGGTCGGATAAAACCAGAGTCATTCCGGTACGTAGAACCGGCTGTCGTGGGAATGTTTGTATCATGATCGTTATTGTCTCTGTAAAGAAGTGATATTCTGCAAGGAGAAAAAAATATATATACATATATACACTGCCGGAACAAAGTATTGGCACAGCAAATTTTTCACAATATATGTATGTATGCAACAATTTTTATTCTAATATTTTTCCGTCAATTTTGTATAAAAATATGATTCATTCTACAATAAAAAACATAAAATTATAGTTCCTAAACTTTGTGCAAAACTCGCGAAAATTCAGCAAATTTTCATAAAAATTTTTAACTTTTTAAAAAGATTTTTTATAATTTTTTTTGAGTATGCAGTTTTGCAGCCCATTAAATTCTAGTAAAACAAGTAAGAAAGTCAGTGTTCGGGCGGAGCCGAACATTAAATACCCGGCGCAAATATTAAATATATGATTTTCACCTTTCCGAAAGCTACCGCTACATGGTAAGCCCAGGTGTATCAATTTTGAGTAAATTAGCGTCCTTAAATTTCAAAATATTGACGTTTAAAGCATTTCTAAAATTTACCGTTACATGAAAAGCCATAATTTTAGTCCGATTTTAATAATTTTCATCGTTTTGCTTTTATGTAGCAAGCACAATAAAAATACCGAGTTTGGTACAAATTGGTAGAACGGTTACCGAGATACATATATGTGATCATAAGTGGGCGGTGCCACGCCCATTTTTCAAAATTTTATTATAGACGTATTTCCTGGTAAGGAATTGTTGCAAGCATCAAATTTGAATAAATTGGCTTTAATATTTACTGATTTGTCGACAAAAATCGACAGTAATTCCCAGCTACTTAAAACTTGCACTTTATTGTAATAAAATTGATTGGGCTACAAATATGCATACTCAAAAAAATTCTAAAAAATCTGATTAAAAAGATGAAAATTGTCATGAAAATTTGTTTAATTTTTGCGATTTTTGCACAAAGTTTAGGAATTATATTTTTATGTTTTTTGTTGTAGAATGAACCATATTTTTAAACGAAATTTGGGGAAAAATATTAGAATGAAAATTGTTGCATATATTGTGAAAAATTTGCTGTGCCAATACTTTGTTCCGGCAGTGTATGTATATTTCAAAATCCAAATTGCGAATCTTGTAATACAATTGAAAATACTGAACATATGTAAAAAATATCACAATTCACGTGACAAATACCCAATACTCAAAAATACTTCATCATTAATTGAATTTCGTCAAAATATTAGTGGCAGAGCATATACATAAATCTATCAGTAATTTTTTAAAGGACATTGAAATTAATTTATAATTTTACAAACTAATCTAAAATTGGAAATGGCGTTTTAAGTTTTTTTGTTGGCCAATTAATTCTTCATATAACGAATTAGGAAGTAACTTTAAATTACAAAAAAAAGTAGTCATATTATACATCAAACCAAAGGAAATTAAATATATGTACATTTTAGAAAATATATTTTTTGGAAAAAAATCCGTAAAAACATTTTTTTTTCATATATTTATATTAAGTCTCTATTTCCACAAATATAGCCAAATTCACACACAGCCTTATCATCAGTTTCATTTTCTCCGAATTGGTTCACTTTTCACTCTTCGTTTTCATGATTTTACTATGGTCGGATGACAAATTTTCCGGGTGAATTTTTTTTTTCAGGCGAAACTCAGTATAAGGCAGAATATGTATATCAAACGAAAGAGATCTTCCGTTTTTCTCTATCGAAACGGTTCTTTAATTACGCTAATTCACTTCCGACTAAATTTCAACCAGTTACTTTGAACTCAAATTGAAGAGATACTTCAAGAACCACAAAGCCCAACTTCGCATTGGCTACCGCAGCAGGACTAAACGCCGATGTGCCAAATGAGTGTCCGGCATGCGGAGAGACCCCTCACGACTCGAAACATCTCTTCGCATGACCGGAAAACCCGACAACCCTAACGGCTTTGTCCCTGTGGACCGACAAAGTGGAGGCTCCACGCTGGGCTGCCGTTAGTGGAACTTGACGACAACGACTGAGATATCAACTGATCTGGGCGGGGTTGTTGTAGCCGCCGCTACAAAACCCACTCGCATGCGAATTGCAGAACCTACCTTTACAAGATCCCTTTCAGACACTTCAAGTCCAGTATTGCCGCGCCCGCAAATAAAGTTAAACAAAATCCTTCAAAAAGTTTATCAAATCCCGTTTAAATTAAGCAACTTATTTAACGGGTCTTATTAAAACGGAAAATGCTTGGTGTTACTTTTTGTTTCTTCCTGAGCTTGGTAAATTGGTTATAGAAATAAAAAGTAAGCAAGTCAGTAAGTAAAGACTCTCTAGCGCAGAGTTTTGTTGTCAAAAGTAAGGACTTTATAGTCTACACATTTACTAGAAAATGGAGACGTGGGGTAACGATCGCAAAACGGTTAATCGAATACACAGTCATATATATTGTTTAGATTATTTACTTTTTCCCCCCCAAGTCGTTTAGGGTTTAAGACGTGCGCGCAAATTCAAATAAGCACACTGGAAATTAATATACACAACTGCAGTTTAAACAGAATAGTTTACTTCTTCTTCGACACACCAACAGTGCGACCGCGGCGACCGGTAGTCTTTGTGTGCTGACCGCGCACACGCAGGCCCCAGTAGTGACGTAGACCACGGTGAGAGCGGATTTTCTTCAAGCGCTACAAATCTCGAATCCAAATTGCTTGATGTCAATTGTGTGTACTTGCCATCAATGATATCCTTTTGTCTGTTAAGGAACCAGTTGGGCACTTTGTATTGCAAAGGGTTAGAAATGATGGTGACAATCTTGTCAACCTGAAACGAAGAATAAAATTTGTTATTGATATTTTCCACATAATTTACCCAGTCATGATTAATGATTATTGAATCATGTTACCCAGTTACCTCCTCCTCAGTGCATTCTCCAGCGCGTTTAGTCAGATCTACATCAGCCTTCTTCAAAACAATGTTGGAGTAACGGCGACCCACACCCTTAATAGCAGTCATGGCAATACCAACTTTACGTTTGCCATCGATGTTCGTATTCATGATACGAAGAATGTGTTGGAACTTATCTGGAACAACGAGCGACTGTAATAAAACATAGCAATTAGTATAGATTTCACTATGGACAAGTTTTCTGAGGTCAATGCCTGTGTTGACTGAATCGAACATTAGCATTGGTTGTTTCATCAACGTTTTATCTCAGTATTTTATGCACATCATTCAGTTTTTACAGGAAAACTTCCTTATGGAGTTTGTTTTCTCATTTCGCAAAAGAAATGTTTCAATTAGTTTAAAGATTCTATAGAAAAATTACGATATATTCACGTCACCCACCATTTTGCACTTTGTTAAGCGACCGAGTTCAAGCCGAAAAAGACAGAAGGACGGAAACCAACAAAACTTCAAACAAATGCAACGAGTTCGCCATGTTCGATGTATTTTCACTCGTCAATCATCCTATGGTGAGTAGGTGACATCAAGAGTGTGTTAAACAATGTGATTTTTCCAATCTGACCAAAAGATGGCGCTAACTTAATTCGAATTTAGTGCTAACTTTATTAAATTCAGCTCCTAAATGTATAGCATTTTTCTGCAGGGTTGCAAATTAGCAAGGTGCACTTGATAATTAATATTTTTGATGATGCATTTACGAACGTCATTTTCTGCAGTTATTCGAAAAATTTTTTGTTAGATAATTGGTATTTTGAGTACGCGGTTTTATAGCCATTAATTTTAGAATAATTAGAAAATAGGGCCTTATTTTTGAAATTTTGACATGAAATGATAATAAAACTGTCTGCTTGCTGCTAGATAATTTTCTGAAACAGCTGCCAAAGGGAAGGTATTCTTAGAAAATACCTGGCTGCAAGCGGGCATACAAGCCCTGCGGAATGGTAGCGCACACTGCTAACCACNGTTGAATTCGGTGAAGCTGTTCTCAAGTTATGAGGTCACACCAAAAACGTGCACTTATTTTTATATATAAGATGTAGGTAAAAAAAATTAGCTACCATTTTTAGCCACAACAACGATTTTTAGCTCTTTTTTAGCCCTTTTTTAGCTGGAATTTAGCTACCACTAAAAATGTTTCGCGGCAACACTGCACTACACCACAGCGGCCGCCGTAGAACTGTATTATTTCAACTTTAAATCAATTTTACATATTTTTCGGTGAAAGTTCCGTTCATTTACTTAACTACAAAACCTCCACAGAATATCAGAAAATCGCAATCAACATTTTCTTGATTACGATTACGTTAATTGTCATCATACTATTTTTAGAATTACAATTAAAGTCATCGTTATCATAATTTTCATGATTACAATTACTTTAGTGTGTTTTTTTGCAAATAACTCTTTAATAAACTAAAAATATTATTGCCCACTAATGCTTACAGCGAATTTAGAGTTACTCAGTGACTTTTACATCGCGTTAAAACGTCTGTACTGAACATTCATCCTCTTCACACTTCCACTCGAACAATTGGCCGTGTAAACGATGTAAACTTTTCGTGAAGCAATTGGAGCGTGTATACTTTGCATTATGTCGACTTTGGCGCCTTCACGCGGTTTTCGCTGGCAATTACGGCGCGTTTACATTGGACAATGCTGTCAAGACAATGAAGATATACGTATTAGTTCTCAAAATTGTTCCAATGGAAAAGTATGCATAAGGTTTAAAGGTTCGTTTCAACCAATTTATAATAGATAAGTGTACCCACTTTTTTCTTTTTGTTAAACATGGTAATACCTACCATGTTTATTTACCATGTGACAATATCAAATGTAAAGGCAACCCACCTCATTTGACATACACTTGACCTTTAACCTGGCGCGTTATTTTTTATACCCGAGCGCACTTGTGCACAAGGGTATTATAACTTTGTTCACATAACGGTTGTTTGTAGAAGGTAAAACGAATCGAGATAGATATAGACAAATGTATACATAAGTAACCAGAATGAATAGAGAAATCTATTAAGCGGTGACTGTCTGTCCGTTCGGCGGTCCGCCTGTGCACAGGATAACTCGAGTAAAAATTGAGATATCTTAACGAAACTTTGTACGCGCACTTCTTTCGGGCGTAGGATGTAGGGCAAAATCGCACAATAATCACGCCTACCTCCCATATAACGGTAATTTGGAGAAATACGAAATCTTCGATAAATCAGTAAATATTAAAGCTAATTTCATCATAATTATTCAAAATACATGCTTGCAACAATCCTTTACCAAGAAATACGTTTATGATAAAATTTTGAAAAACGGGCGTGGCACCGCCCACTTATGATCACATATATGTATCTCGGTAACCGTTCTACCAATTTGTACCAAACTTGGTATGGCTATTGTGCTTGCCAAATAAAAGCAAAACGTCGAAAATTATTGAATTCAGACTAAAATTTAGGCCGCTTTTCACATAACGGTAAATTTCAGAAATGCTTGAAACTTCAATATTTCGAAATTTAAGGACGCTAAATTACTCAAAACTGATACACCCCGGGCTTACCACGTTGCAGTAGCCTTCGGAAAGGTGAAAATCATATATTTAATACTTGCGCCGGGTATTTAATGTTCGGCTCCGCCCGAACTTAGATTTTTAGTTGTTTGTTTTTCGAACCGTTGAACCGAACCGAAACCCCGGTTCAAAGACTAAAAAACCGCTTTGACGAACCAATCCAAAAGTGCAAAAACGATTAGAACCGCTGAACCGAACCGACAAAATTTTTCATCCGGTTCACGTCCCTGATTTGAGAAGCAATTTCATTAGCAACATGTCGCCTTCAAGAAAACAATGTAACTAACTAACTACTGGAGAACATTTTCCATTTTAATTCCATTGTACATAGATTAACATTTTAACATGCATAAGCTTAGTATTTTTTTATTTTCACAAAATTCGCATGCCAATGCTGAAAAGCTGATCAAAATTTAAAGAAAAATTGAAACTCAATGGCAAGGGAAAGATTGAAAACAAGTTGCCCATTCAAGCAACACATAAGAGTGTGTTAGTGAAAAAGTGTGAGAGTAATGAAAATTGAAAGGGAAAATTGAATGTGTAACGGCCCGATATATCGACCTTAGAATATCGAATCAAAAAATCGATTATCGTGCGATGAAATATCGATATTCGGAAAAATCGATACGATATCGAAAATTCCTAGTTTGGTGCCATATAAATAAACAAGGTTTAAGGCTATTTAAATATGATATATGCAACCCTGTGTTTTAACCAAAGAACTTAGGGCCGGTTGTTCAATGTCTGATTAGCACAAATCGGAGGTAGAAGCTCCGGTTAAGTACAACGGCTGCTTTACCGATCACATGTTACATGCAACATGTCGAAATCGTCGATAGTGTAGTGGTAGTGATAACCAGACATTGAACAACCGGCCCTTAGACTATGTTCAAACAGGCCAATTAGCTGAGGTAATTAAGCTTTAAATTGCGGCATTGAGTTTGGTGTTCACACACACGTCAGCTGCCCAATTAACGATACGAAATCAGCTGTTGGATTACCTACAGTGATGGAAAAGTTGTTACAATCGTACCTTTATTTAGTTTGAAAGTACATTCGGTAAAAACAAACAATTTAAGTACATTTGGAATGTAGCCAAATAGTTTCTTAGGAAATCAGTTCTTATTTTTACTGACACTCAGTGCATTTTCTGGTGCGGGCAACTGGTCTAATAGCTTCCCTCCTTTGTGAAGAGGCATACAAATGATACAGAAGGGTGGTCACAGTAATGCAACTGTAGTTGATTTCGCCAGATAGACGGAAAATATTTCTTTTTAAAACGTTAGATCGAACAACTGGGAGGAAAGTGATTCACCTTTTCTACAACATAGTTTTGTCTCGCACTGCTCGAAGAGATTTTTTTCATAGCCAACAATTTTTTTAATGTGAGTACCGAAAGTGATATGGCATCGATGGGAATTGTTATCCTGCTATTTTTCTGTATATAGAAATACATATTCACTTCTTAGATAGATCTATCTACTTTTACAGGCTAACCTAATATTCACGCACGCCGCCAATTTACTGTCAAAAATTTCTCATGCACATACAACTTGTATGGGACCAACCGAAATTGAACGGCGTGCGTATGAAGCTAACTCAATTTCCAATTTTTGTTCTGCGTGACATTTTGATTTGACGTTTCGCTCAATGAAATCAAATGCAAACGCACGACAGCCAATTTCGGGTGACGCAAAAAAACAAATTCGACGGCGTGTGTACCAAAACGCAAGCCGCGAATATTAGGTTAGCCTGTTAGGTAACGTTTTTCGTAAATTAGGTACAATTTTATAATTCAATTTTCCATCCCTGATGGAATATCAGCTGTAAAACAGAACCAGAAACAAACAGCTGATTGCTCTTTGTTCAATAAACATACCTCCAAGTCAAAATTAAACATATATAGCAGGGTTGCATAGAGAATCTGACAAATTGATTGCCAATTAATTATTAAAAAATGGATTCTATTCATCGTTTCCTTCAAAATATGCAAAATCAAAGAATTTTACTATAAATAAGCACTTGATGAGTGTTTTTTTAATTCTTTTCCACTTTGTTTTCCTTAATTCAGCTATCTCAAAAAACAACTGATAGCTGGCAATGCTGGACATGTTTCCGCAAGGGTTGCAGCATGGGGATTTTCGTTTTTCGTAGCGGAGCTACGAATTACGAATATTCGGGTTCTAGAATAAGGGGGTAAATAATCTAAATAAATCGATTATTATTTCTTGAATATATAAAGGAGACGTTTTACTGCTCAGTAGAGAATGGAATATTATCTGCTGCATGTTCCCGGGTTGGAAACTAATAGATTTTTTATATGTACAAGCCTGCGAAGTTGAACTTTTCTCCTCATCCAATAATTTCTTTTAAATATCTAGGTAAGTTAAATAAAAATACAACCTTGTTTTTTTCTAGCAATGGACAAGGCGAAATAAACAGGTGAAGTAATACACAGCTGTCTCGCTTTATTTTCTGTCATTCGGCTGTATTATAGAAAATTTTAAAAGCAAATTTTCAAATAAGATAGTGTCAAAGCAATGAAATATCTTTCTCCTCGCTCTTATTACTTGACCTGCTATAATTACACCATGGACATAGAGATTTTATTGATGACATGCACGTTATAAATTTCTTTAACATTTCCATGAAAAGCAAAAATTAATCAACTTAAAATTAAATAAAGAAACAAGCAGTATTAGTTGAAAATACCTCTAAAGAGACCATCGGCGTAGCCAGAATGGAATTTAGGCGGGGAGCTCGAGCACCCTCTTCCCCTACCTGGCTACGCCCATGAAAGAGACTGAAGGCTGGTTTTCACTGTCATTTTTTGACGCCAAAATTTGTTAGGCGCGCTGCACTAAATTTTTAATGCACTAAGCACTTCACTAAAACTATTGGGGTAGTTCTAGTGAAATT